TATATCACCTTGTTATATAATTGTATTATATTATATTGTTATATAATATTGCATAATATTGTTATTTAGTTTTGTATAATAAGATTGTTATATAATATTGCTTGATAATATTGTTAAATATAACGATATTTTACAATGATATTATTATATTATATTGTTATATAATATTGTTAAATATAACAATGTTACATAAAAATATTGTTATATAATTATGTTAAATATAATAATATTATACTACAATGTTGTTATATTATATTGTTATTTAATATTATATAATAATATTGTTATTTAATATTATATAATAATGTTATATTATATTGCGAGTCGCGAGGCTCGAACAATCGTATCCCCTGTTCCCAAAATCGTCCATTTTTTCGCCGAATCTGAACGCAAATTAGAGAACAATCCCTGTAAAATCCGAGCGTCAATTAGGGAGACTTTTCCAGTATAAACGTGGATATTCACGGCAGAATCTGTGCACCGTTTGTCCGCGCGCATTTCTATTGAGCGCACAATATTCGCCGCGGGCGGCCTTGTTCGAAGTTAATCGACGGAGCGGCCGCGGTTGATATCCGCGGAATTCGGTGGCGGGCGCAGGCGTAGGAGTTTCATGTTGTTTGGAAGGTCGTTGCTCTATATCCGATTTTAGAAACGACCGAGCAATCTCGAAGACGGCCTCATAACTGCGTAACGTAGGCGCTCTGCTTGTTCCTCGCGCCCTCGCGTCGCGACGCGATTCTCGTCGCGTTCTCCCGACATTTCCTCGAAAATTTTCCGACTACGCCCCTCGCCGTTTCGCTCGATTTCACCGAACGTTTCACGATCCCGTCGCATTCCTCGAACGCCCCGCGAACATTACAACGAAAGTCCAGCGACGATACGTTCGACTATTTTTTCAAACAATTTCGTTTGTTTACGAAAACAGTCGTTGCTTGTTACTCGTAACGTTGCTTTCGAAGAGAAAAAAAGAGGCAAGGTGTACGATTCGCCGCAGCTCGTTCGCAGTTTTACGAACGCGAAATTCCTCATAGATTGTTTATTTCACGCGTTGTTTATTCGCGCGATTTATTTAACACTGTGACCGTTGTCGTCGATGTCGGCCGACAAATAGCGCGGCGCTGTTTATGAATTATGCAAATGTTGCATGTTTGGCTTATTTGTTTGCGTGTTTCTTTGGAATTGCGAAACGATTAATGATAGGTATTGTTAGGAATAATTGGTATTATTGTGAACAATTCGCGATTTTGTTGTCGAAATGGTGACACGTTCCGCTTGAACAATGAGATGTTTCGGCTAGTTGGTATTTGTTTTTTCAAGTTGGAATAAGTGGAAGCTGTTTTTCATATTTTTTCGATTCAATATAGTTCGGTACGGTTCAATGTGATTCAATATGGTTCAATATGATTCGATATGATTCGATATGGTTCAATATGATTCAATATGATTCAATATGATTCAATATGATTCAATATGATTCAATATGATTCAATATGATTCAATATGATTCAATATGATTCAATATGATTCAATATGATTCAATATGATTCAATATGATTCAATATGATTCAATATGATTCAATATGATTCAATATGATTCAATATGATTCAATATGATTCAATATGATTCAATATGATTCAATATGATTCAATATGATTCAATATGATTCAATATGATTCAATATGATTCAATATGATTCAATATGATTCAATATGATTCAATATGATTCAATATGATTCAATATGATTCAATATGATTCAATATGATTCAATATGATTCAATATGATTCAATATGATTCAATATGATTCAATATGATTCAATATGATTCAATATGATTCAATATGATTCAATATGATTCAATATGATTCAATATGATTCAATATGATTCAATATGATTCAATATGATTCAATATGATTCAATATGATTCAATATGATTCAATATGATTCAATATGATTCAATATGATTCAATATGATTCAATATGATTCAATATGATTCAATATGATTCAATATGATTCAATATGATTCAATATGATTCAATATGATTCAATATGATTCAATATGATTCAATATGATTCAATATGATTCAATATGATTCAATATGATTCAATATGATTCAATATGATTCAATATGATTCAATATGATTCAATATGATTCAATATGATTCAATATGATTCAATATGATTCAATATGATTCAATATGATTCAATATGATTCAATATGATTCAATATGATTCAATATGATTCAATATGATTCAATATGATTCAATATGATTCAATATGATTCAATATGATTCAATATGATTCAATATGATTCAATATGATTCAATATGATTCAATATGATTCAATATGATTCAATATGATTCAATATGATTCAATATGATTCAATATGATTCAATATGATTCAATATAATTCAATATGATTCAATATGATTCAATATGATTCAATGTGATTCAATATGATTCAATGTGATTAAAAATGATTCAATATAACTCAATATAATTCAATATAATTCAATATAATTTCAATATAATTCAAAATGATTCAATATGATTTAATATAATTCAGTATAATTCAATATTATTCAATATAAATTCAATATAACTCAATATAACTCAATATAAATTCAATATAACTCAATATAATTCAATATAATTCAATTTAAATTCAATATAACTCAATATAAGTCAATATAAATTCAATATAACTCAATATAACTCAATATAATTCAA